AGACATGGCCAAGGTGCTGAGCAGCTGAGCTCCAGATAGGTCCCAGCTCGGTGGTGATAGCTGGCGGGGAGGTGCCGCAGGGACGAGGATGTGCACCTTGACAGGAGGATCCTATACAGCCCCAGAGCTGCCTCGTGCCTGGCCCTGCTGTGGCAGAACATGCCTTGCACAGCTGTCGGGGAGCCACCTGAACGGGCAACACCGGGGAGCAAGGATGACCCCCCTTCATCTGTAGCTGAACTTCATCTCCCCCCTTGACAGCCCGTGTTTCTCCTTCTACCAGCGCCCAGATTAAAAATCAAAGGCGAACAACTGCAACCCGACTTCCAGCTTTAAATGGCTCAACGTCCATCCTGAGAGGCTTGATCCAGAGTCTCTCTTCGGGTTTTCTGTGGCTCTACTAATGCCACAACACTGCGGTAATGCTCTTTCAATCCTACAAGAAGGAAGCATAAAGTGTGGTATTGACCAACTCTGACTTTTTTAGTAGAATACGCCAATGCAGTCATCCTCTGGCTACAAATATCCACGGGAAGAATAGATGTGGCCTTTAATAACAGGGAGAGTGCTTAAAAAAGAACATTTTATTGCAGTGTTGCCGTCATCACAGTGAATTGCAGCATTTTCCTGTATTTATTGCATTGAGTGTTTCTATCACTGTGAAGCAAATATTTGCTTTCAAAGGTCACTCATTGTATCTCTTTTCCTCTGGGGATATATGTAGGTCTCTCTTAGACTTCACTATAATTCCATAAGGATATATAATGATCTCGCTATGAGATTCTTTATTGCATCCGAGCACTACTGAAATAGCAGATGCAGAATTCAAAGTATAATAGGCAATGCATTTCCATTAGCCAGTCTCTCTTTGTATTTTTCTTTAACCCTTAGTGTGTTGTGCTTCCGTACAAACACTGGTGTAACAGAGGAGACTGGCTCACAGAGGATTTAATGTAAATCACCCAAGTCCCTGAAGTTACTTGTGTTGTCTAGAAGACACAGTGTACAGCTTGGTACATGACACACAGTTTTTTGTAGCAACATTTGGACATTCGTCTCCATTTAAGAGAGCACCACATACGTGTGTGTGTGAGCTCAGAGGATTTCCCTTCCCTTTTCTGAAATGGAAAAACCAAGGTCCTCATGAAATTTTGAGCTTGCGTTTGTATACACAATTGTTGCAGGTATAAACACAAATTGACTGAGTGTCTGCAAGTGGCTGTAATTTCTGTAGCAACTTTTTTATTTAATCAAAGTTTTAGATCTAAAGAGCTTAATATATAATATCACAACACTGGCTTTCTGATCTGTCATCTCTGCAGTGACTGTAGACAAAATAAAATGTAGTTTACATTGAAAGTAGAGAGTACATTTTGAAGAGTTTATTTCCAGTTATATTAGAGGCTCCTAAGGCAATTATAGGATTTTGATACTTGGTTCAAATCAACTCGAATGAGAATAGAATGCAAAATATCAGCTATTATCAAAAATATAAATCCCTCAAGGAATTTATTATCCCAAAGCCTCAGTAGTAGCTTTGGCCTGTTCTACTAAAACAAGAGCAGGTTTCAGTGGGCCCAAGACAGACTGATACCATAAACTTCTGACAGTCTGTCCAGTAATCAGTGAGCAAATCCGTTATGTAATCATTCCGTTACAATGTTCTAATACATCAAGAGGACTACATATAGGTGTTCCTAAGAAACACCATAGAGGGAAAACTCTTAATTTGTATGGTAGAGAAATAGTTCCCTTTAAAACATAAATCTGCTCTCTGCAGGATTTTATTGATAACAGGGTTTGTTGTTGGAAATTCATGACACCGGAATGGAATTTCAGCCTAAATGGGGCTTTTGAAGGAAAATCCTAGCTCTAACCTGTCCTATTCCACATTTTAAACTGCAAAATCTGCAAAAAAAAATTAACCCCCTTCCCAGCCATCTGCAAAATATATGTAGTTTATCATACTGTGTGCAAACTAGTAACCTTTATTGATTCTTGTGCACAGTTTTCTATTAAATAAAGTTGAATCAGCACTGCTGCGGGGCACTTTTATTTATGACTAAAACTGGATGTAAAATGACTTGTCTGAAAGAATGCTTTTTCCTATTTCTCAATCCATTCTAAGTGCTTTACAAATAGCAAACAACCTCAATAAACCTGTCAAGTGCAATCACTTGCTACAAAACATCTCTCTGGTTACAACCTCTGACATTTTTTTCAGCTTGATGCAAAATAGGACGTGTCCGTCACTAAGATGCCAACTGATGGTTCTAACTAACTGAGAAGGATAACTCTAAAGAAAAACGACAAAGTTTCTCCACTTTGTTTCTTTTTTGCCCCACCCAACACCATCACTGGCTCATGATCAAAAATTAGGAAGTAAAAGATCTGAAGTCAGGCTGGAATCTACTTGAGAGTTGAATTTTCTGTGCAATTTTTATTCCTTGCAGCGACTGGCAAACAGGCTGTTATTATTCGTTATTGTCAGTAGAAGCACTCATCTCTCCTTCGCTCACTCACAGCTCTGTAATCATTCTGCTCACACTGGATATGCTTAGAGACTGAACCAAATCCCCTGTTAGCATCACATCCTCTCACTGATGCATCACCTCCCACTTCACAGCTAGTAAGATGCTACCAGACAGACATAACACAGAACTGGTTTCCTGCCCCTCATAGCTAGATGTATATACCGATTAGATCGGTCCCCAAGTCATGTTTAAATTGTCCTGATTTTTGCTAAAGCTCAGTGCTGCTATTCTGCCAGCACTGGTGTAGCGAGGGATTCAGTCAGAGGAGGATATTTTAACTAGATATTCTAAAACTAGGTTCACAGACTTAATCCTGGTATTCTGTCACAAAGCCTGTGTCAGAAATATTTAAATGCTGAGTTTTGCCTCAATCTGGGAAAAAAAACACAGTTTGTGAAGCAGTGACCAGTGCTAGAGCCAGCCTGGGACGGGAGCTCAGAGAGAAGTTCTTTATTGAAATAACTTCTTTTTACCCCAGCTGAGTGTGCTCCATTTGCTAATCAGAAGCAGTGCCTTCCTGAAACGGCGTGACATGCTACAAAGAGCATCACGAGTGCAGCAGCAGGGTGGGAAGGTTGGGGTGGCCCTGAGAGAATCCCCACACTTTCACATGCCCTTCGGCAGGAGACCAACTCCTGGTTCATCTTTTCCTCCTAAACCTCAGAGTGTGCCGTTTTTTGTAAAGCTTATTTACCGCTGTATGTGAGCATCCTTGAAGTCTCTGATATCAGTCTCAATATTAGCCGTGAAATTAAGCTCTGAGTTTGCATCAGCCAGGGCTGCAGATGAGTTGCTTAAGCGTGGTCCTTTGCACCACTGTGACCATGCAGCTGGCAGAACCAGGTGGACTTCTCCTCCAGCATACAATTTGGGCTCCTAAACGTTGTGTCACCCATCACAAAATGTCAGTCTCCCTCTGACAAGGATATGGTGATGTGCTCAGTGCTGAACGGAGGATGCCGTGCCAGTAGCTGCAGGGCTGACTCTTTGAGATGGATTTCTTCCTGCTTTAGCTTCAAAGAGGAGAAGCAACCATGGGTGAGGGCACAGCTAACGCGAAAACATGAAGGTCGCATATTCCCTCTTAGGTAAGAAAACCAGCAAATCTGTTGCTGAAGCTGCAAAGGAAATGCAAGGAGCTGTCTGCTTGCCTTATACATTTCTAAGCACAGAGGGTGTGATCCAGGAAACAGCCCTGCCACCCAGCTGTACCTGTTCAGCCCATACTTCCGATGTCCTGATGGAGAGCACTGTCAAAGTGATGGACTCCAATAGATAATAACTTCTGTTTAAACAGAGTTATTATTGTTAAAATTTTAGAGACAAGCTCTGCCCTGACTTACCTTGTTTCATAAAGGCTGCCACGTATCACAGACGGGACAGAAAATAGCCCCTGGGTTTTGCCTTCTTAGAGCAGCTTTGCTGAAAGGGGCTGCTTTCGTCCCCTTTCTATAATTGAGCACGATGGCATGTGCTTTATGGCCGTTTATTTGCAGTCCCCCACAACTTCCCCACCTCCACTGCACCTGGGATTAGGTTTTCCTGCAATGAACAAATCTAACATTCAGTGAGCAGTAATTTGCAATGTGCCATGCTTGAATCAAGCAAAGAAATAAGCCAGTGTTGTTGATATAAAGACCTGACAGATGGTAGGAGGACCCGCCTTTCTTAATCAAGTCATGCTCAGTAATCAGAACTAGCTCAAATTTATAACAAAAAAGAAACCCTACCCAAATAAGGATTAATGGGCTGCATCCTGGTCTCTGGTTGGGATGAGCTCAGTGGCGTTGTTCTGTATTGAGAAAGATAACAAAGATCAAGATCTGACCCACTCTGGGGAGAAGTTGAAAATACGTTGGGTTCTGCTGTCTCTTCCCCTGAAATGAAGGATTGTCCCAGGTAAACAGCTTCTCCCAGTCTAGCTGTAAATATTATTTTAGAGTCTGAACTATAGCATGGCGGACAAGTCATTAGCTGATAAAAATCTGCAAAGTTCCATTGTCTTTGCAGATGTATTAGCTGAGCGTCCAGCCCTCCAAGTGATGCAGTTGAAATATAGGACATGAGGGGCACAAACTTGACCTTGACCTCCTTCATGTTAAGGCTTTTAATTCTAGAGCAGAAAGAATGGGTCTCAAGACTGGTGGTGGTAGCAATTAACACCTCCTGAGTCTCTAGCTTCTATATGAATAGCATTTGAAAGGTTAAGAAAAAAGGATTTTCCTCCAAGAACATGACAAGGATACATCCTTGTTCTTTGAGAGCGATTAATAATACAGGAATAAAGCACCACCTTGAACAATCCTGTGTGCTCTCTGCTGTATAGTAATTGCTATCCAGAACAAAAGAGTTTGGGTGAGGGCACTCACGTAATAAAAGCACTTTTGTGGGACTGACATTTAAGCATAATCCAGTGAGTCAGGGAGCCTAACCACACTGTTTCTTTTCCTTTTCGCTGTCTTCCAGGCTCACAAGCAGCTGAGAGCAAATCCTTGGCCTGAAGCTTCCACAAACACACCCACAGCTAAAATGGCGGAAGACGCTGATATGCGCAATGAGTTGGAAGAAATGCAGCGGCGTGCCGACCAGCTTGCTGATGAAGTGAGACCGATAGCTAAACTGGAAACTTGGGGTTGGGGTTAGCATGAGAGACACATCCAGAAATATGAGCTGCGCCGGCAGAGGATTTCTAGGGCTGATGCTGTCTTCTGTCAGCTTTAAGCTGAAAACAGATTTGGAAAAGAAATGAGCTGGGGTGAAATTTAATGTCATGTTTTGTCTAGATTAAGGCATTTATTGATTGTGAGTTTGGTTTAGGTATTAGAGTCCGCATCAATTTGACTGGCCTCAGAGCAAAAAGCAGCAATTTTATGTTTTCTGAGGATTCCTTCAATTTGCCAAACCTGTTAGATGTTAAAAGTCACCAATTAGGTCTCTAAAAAGTCTTAGCTGAAAACCACAGACGTTATTTTTAAAGCGGAACGCCAGCTGTTCCAAGCACCACCACCGCAACGCATGAGCAAGGGGAGCACGAGCCTTAGAGACTGCAGCTGCCTTGGGATGTGGAGGGAACTGCTGCATTAGCAAGCTGTAACAGAGAGCTGGAGATGAAGAGATCACCAGTACCCTGCTGATGGCCTGATTTTGAGGGAAGGCAAAGAGTGTAGGAAAAAGATACTGTCAGCATGAGCCTGCACATTAGCCTTGGAAACTGTATCTTGCCAAATCTAAGTGTTTTTTCCTCTGTTTTTCTCAGTCCCTTGAGAGCACCCGTCGAATGCTGCAGCTTGTTGAAGAGGTAAGGACTTGCATTTTATCTACATTTCTGTTGTGAGCAAAAGTGATGGGGAGTCTGACACTGGAAATGGTTTATTTTTTAACGCGCACTGCTAGGGCATGGCCGTGGCTTTATGCGCCGCTCCATCCCTCCTTATTCTTACTCCTTACGAGGGTCGTCCAAGATGCTGTGCCCTAGTTACCAAGCGTCACCCTGCAGACCAGCTGCAGAGGCGCCGTTTTGCCATACCTGAGCATCCACTGAGACGGGCTACTCGAGATAAACCAAGGAAACAGCCTCTGAAGGTGACCTGGAGTCAGGGACAAGTGGCTGAGTTGGCTGAAGAGCTCCTGGAGCCTTGTGCAGGCACCACTTGGACATCCCTGCCATAACACTGCGAGTGGGGAAAGTGAGGAAGGCCCTCGGCGTGTTTGCCCTGTTGTCTCTTAATACCTCCCCCTGCATTAATGCTTGTAGCTATTTATGGAGCATCAGTCACCACAGCATTTAAATGCCACTTCTTTATGTATCTCTGAAACATTTATTAGGATTTCAAGGCTCATGAGATGTCCTAGACTGACAGCTTTGGAAAAGGAGGTTCTCTGATTTTCTACGGTGCTAAGGAAGAGGACCTGGGCTCAGCCCTCATGGCTAATATGACTTATACCTGCCTGGAGGTGTTACTGCCAGAAGGGAAAACCCATTTCAGTCAGGCTTCGTTTCACCCTCTTCGTAACAAAGGGGTTTAAAAGTTGGAAATTCCCAAACTCAGTTTAGTTTAGAGTGTTCAGCCACCAGGTGGGGGAAATCTTTGCTCTCGCCTGACAGGATGTATTATTTTCAGACACCATGCGAGCCTTGGCTCTGGAGCTGGTGACATTTTTAATCAGGGTCATCAGCACTGACAGTTCCAGTGCTCCTGACAACCAGAGGAGTCTCCAGCACAGGCAACGGAAAGAAAATTAGATCAGGTCCCACGTTCAGCAACAGGCACAAGCCCAGCCATAGGCTTCATGGCCATGAAATCAGTCACGATTGTGGACATCAATGGAGTCCAGTGCAGGCAAAATTAAATTTCCATGTACAGACAGACAGACAGATGGGTCACTGAGCATAGACACCATTGCTTCTCATCCACAAACGCTTCAGATCTGGGGCCCTTGCAGCTGAAACATGCTCTTGTCCCGTGAGCAATCTGTCCCTTTTTTGCTGCTCAATTCCCTGGACGTGCCATTTCTAACTGTCACTTTATGTCAGCTCTGTGCTGGATGCAGCTCCTGCTGAAATCAGTTCAGCAACGTGGAAGAGTCTCACATGGGCACCTCCACAAATGCAAGGCAGGAGAGCCTGCTGCCCCAAAGTGCCCGTGATCCAAACAGACAAGGCAGATGATGAGTGGGCAGAAAGAGAGGCGCAGGAAAGGGAAGTGATTTGATCAGGGCCAAGCCATCAGTAAATATCAGCCCTGTCTCTCCTGAGCCGTATTCGTGTGACCTATGCACTGCTTGAGTCTTCCTAACATATTGAACCAGCATATTGTGAATGCCACTGGAATTTCAGTATTAAATCACAGCAAATGGCAAAGTGGGAGGAGAACTGGGACTGCTGAATTTACCAGTGAATTTAGATAGGACTCTAGCGCTTTTTGAAAGTGCTCAGCATCTCTCTGGACCTGGCTTTTATTCAGATGATACAATATCTTCCTGTCCAAATAGAGAAGTATCTAAAACTGGCACTGAGTAGTCAAGGGAATTTTTCTAGCATGAGCTGAATATTATTTTCACTAATGTGACTACAAAGGACCTTCAAAATTTTTCTGTGGTCTAAACAGTTGGTTGATTACTCCAACCCCATTTCCTAGGTACTTTTTAAAAGAATTCAGCATTTAGGGAGTGAGAGATTTTATACTGAAAAGACAAATGATGAGTGTCTCTGAAATTGAACTCGCAGTGCTCTGATTTAATAAACCCCCCAAAATCCAATTAGACTCCCTTGCTTAGCAGAACCTGTCTAGTTGGAAGAAAGAGAAAGTGTCCTTTCTCAGTAAGAGAATGCTTTTTACTCTATTCTCTTGATATGGAAAATCTGTTATTCCTTACTCAGGAAGAGGATGCCTCCATGCTTAAACATTATCACTATATATATATGGATGGAATCCTGTCACGGTTGGCTCTGCTCTGTTAGATACTAGGAAAATTCAGAGTAAACAGACTGACCTAGCTCCACTCCAGAGATAGAAGAGTGCTGTCCACCCAGGGAAGCCCTATAGCAGTACAAGGCATCATTATGCTGAAATGTAGGTCATAGCCTGGGGGACAAAACCGATGTCCCCAAAGGCCCGTGCCCTCCTCGCCCAAGAAGAATAGGCTGTGTTTGGAGACTAAGCCTGGTGCTGCTCCCAGGGAACGTCAGCAAGGAAAACCAAATCTGTTACTGCTTCTTATTTTTATAACCCAGCTTTGCAAGGAGCTGATTGTGTCAGTCCTAGCGCAACGGGGGAAGCAAGAAGAAGTGGTGACCGGCTGTTGCGAAGTAGCCGCTGCTTTGCCCCGAGGCAGCTACGTACTGGGATGGCAGATTACAAAAATCAGTTTGCTCTGTGATGCCCAGCATACCCACGCAACACAGTTACCTCTATGCTGACCAGTGTTCATTTGAGCTACTCGGCTACACAGTGCTATAAATATCTGTGTTTTATGATGACGCTGCACAATATTTGGGCCAAAATATAAAATACAAATGAACTGAGGCAGAAGTGAGACTAAATACACAGTTTGTAGCTGACCTTCTTATTTTCTTGTTCAAGCTTTTTATCTCTGAGCCAACTTTATGAAATGCAGAATAACACGTGCAAGGGGAAAAGCTGAGTCTACTACCATATTCCACTGGAACCACTATGGCCTTTAAAGAAAATTAATCATGGTAGGATGAAAAAAACCCCTTGTTTCTAGATATGATGCAGCAGGGGAAAAAAATATTGATAGGATTGGTATGGTAGAAGGCCCAGCAAGAAAGCACTTAGCAACACATATAGACAAAAGGTTTGTTTTGTACATGTGAATCCAGAGAGGACTATCTTCTCTTCTCATATGCTGGGGGGTTTGAGTCAGGTTTGCTAACATATCAAAGCTGAAATGGTAAGCTATAAATGTTTAATAACCTCATGATGCAGTTCTACGCAGGACACTGGACACACAGTATGCCATTTTACTAATTTCCTTCATTCATGATTTGGAAGCGAGCTTCCCCTGACATTAGTATCATAATCAAGTGTTCTTTAGCCTGAAGACTGAAAGAATAACTTATTCTATTACTTTAGAGTTTGGTCCAAAATTTGTCAAAGCTAACTTGAAAAATCCCTTTGACATCATTAGCTATTGGAACAGTTCTACTCAGAAAAGTGTTTTAATGTGTGTAATTCCACACAAATACGTATCTGGCACAGGGGAATGCGATTCAAAATTCTCATCTTAGTTTTTCCTATGCAGGATTAGACCCCTTTGTCTCTGTAAACCAGCAGAATAGCACTGGAGTCAGGGACATTGCACTAGACAAAAACCAGGCACACAGGATTCAAGGGCAAAGTCACAGATTTGTATCGGCTGAGGATCTGAACCACAGGGTGAATTAACAGGCTGAGAAGTAACATGTCTCTTTAATCAGGCGTGAAGAGACTTTAGCATTAACAGGGTGATAGTGAACTTAGAGCAGGAGCTGAGGAAACGCATTACTACGTTTCTTTGACCACATTTTTGTCTCCAGGGTGTTGACACTTCTCTTCAGTGTCTGGGAAGTGCTAGCAATGTCAGCCTGTCCTGGATCATAATCGTCTGTATTAATTTTTTCAAAACAAACTCCATAATCCACATCGATTAAAGCAAAATTGTTCATTGAAGTGGAAGTTTATGTGTTCTTCACATAACTGAGAGTGTACACCTGTTTTTCAGAGTATCTCCTGAGATGCAAAGAAAGCGATTTCTAGAATTTGGATTCGCTATCTGATATATCATTCCCTTATATTGTTATGAAAATCACCCCTCAGACTAAACCAGGTGGAGTAGCTGCCTTTTGTAGCAGGCATGGATGGAACATAACACACTGTGTTCCTGGAGGGACTGACAGGCCCTTTGAGAAGTCATCCCAATTCTCTTCCTAGTTTTAGTCCCACTTTGGGAAATTAAGTGACATAACAGCAATAACATGAAATGATACAGCAACGCGTTTCCCCTCCAAAGTGCTGGGCAAATTTAATTGAACATTTTGTCACTGACTTGCTCTGAGTGAGACCCTCATAAAAAAAAGTTTTAAAAAGCTCTTACAGAAGATTGAGGATAATGTATATTAAAGCCTCCAAAAAGGTTCCCAGTCATGCTGTTAAACTGGCTTCACTGAAGTATTGACAGACTAAGAGCGGAGTTAAGCCCAGAGTTTTGAAATCATATATTCTGGCTTTCTGATCAGGAGCTTAGCCAGTGGTCCAGTGGAGAACCTCGGCATGTGCTTCACAGAAAGCACGCTGAACCCAAACCAGTGCTTCTTGTTGGTTTGTTTTTATCGAAACAGTAGAGCTTAGCACTACTTAAAGGCTGAAGGACACTGACTTTCATGAACTTTATGGGGTCTATATTCATGATGCTGTTTCACCTAATGTGATTCATTTTTAAGTCAAAAGTGATGGCCTCCTGCTCTGAGGGGTCATCTTGTGTGTGAAATTGGGCAGATCTTTGCAGAAAAATGGTTGGCAACCCACAGCAGTCTCCATGGAAATCAAAGTCTGGGAGGACACACCAATCAACCCGCTCAATTCCTAGAGTCAGGGCTCAGTGGGAAAGATTATATATTTTACGGTCTGCAATATACTGGCTTTATGGATAAACAGAGGAATTCCAGAGTTGTCAGTTTAATTCCTCAACTACAGCAATTCATGCTGTGCCATTTTCTTCTAAAGGAAAGGAGTGTGAGATGTTTGCTGTACCACGGCAAAAGCCAGCAGTCCAAATTCTCCTCTCAAGTGCAACAAGAAGACAAGGAGAGTGAGAAGTAACTCTGGAGAGAGAAGGCTGTTATAGACTTAAGAGCTGGATTAAGAGAGCACATGCTCTGTGGACTGTGTAGGATCCTATGAAAGATGCATTTTTCTTCTCTCTGATCTGAACTACCCTAAGCATCCCATTTTTTGAGAATCCTTATTTTGCCACAAATTAAACAGAGGATTGCCTGTGCAAGGACTGGAGGGTCTTAAGAAATTCCTCCATTGCACAGGAAGAAAGAAAGGCTCTCATCTTGGGGAAAGGGTAGCATTAGCACACATTTTCATAGCAAGATGGACCTCACTAGTTCTACCCATTCATGACTTCCCATGTAGGATCTCATGGTTGTTGGTGAGCACTGGATGTGGGTGGGAACCCCTCCTGAGCCCTCAGGAGCAGACAAATCAAAGCATGGTCACAGGGCCCCTGCCGAGACCGTGGCTCTTCTGGGAGCCTGTTACCCAGGATTTATGATCGGTTGTAAAACATATTCTTCTGGGCTGGCACTTGACAAACACAGCTTTTGTCACCTCCTGTTACACACTCTCTAAGCAACCAGTTTGAGTGTGTCTGCTGACATCTGCTCCCACTGAGACCAAGGGGAGTTTCTGTGATACTTTTAGTGCAGAAAATGCCAACATCGCCTGTGTTTGGGCCCCAAACACACTTGTCTGGCACATTTCTTCCTCAATATTCCTTTAAATGAAGAGGTTGTGTAGTTTCCAGAGATGCCTCAGTCTGTTGTCACTGAGGACCAGTTACCGAGTGTTTCTCTCCTGCTCAGACATCTGGATGATGAGCACATTTTTAGAACAGTTCTGTCTTACAGACATGTTTGGTTTCAAGCTATCTAAAAGATCAGTCACAATGGAAATACTGAACTTTTAGGAAAGTCTGGATCTGTTTTAAATGCACAGATGTAATTTTTAAATTTTTTTTTAATTGACTTGACACGGCTAATTTTTTGTGAAAAGGCTGAAGATTAATGCTTAATAGAAAATTGGAACAGGAGGAGGTTGTCATTTGATGTCCGGATCACCTCTCATCTTTGTCAGTAACCATCTTTTTATTAGCTTCAATATGCTTTGGATTAGACCTCAGATGCAGACAAGTATATTCAATGCACACCCTTTCATATTTTCACATTAGTATTAATGCTGTGGCAGGCTGCTCTTAAGAGACACGCTATTGCCTGATAAAATTAAATGGCACTTATGGCCAAGTAAAAGAAAATTGCACGTCTTTCACTCTGTGAAAAGATTTAATATGAGATACAAACCATAAGATCTAAATGCTGAGTTCATCTCTCAGCATAGGTCTTATTCAGGTCACTGGACATCTTAGCTGAATAAAGGCAGTTTGCTCAGATGTTAAAAACAGCAGGAAAATAAGGTCAGAGAGCTAAGGATCAGTAACATTTCTCAGCCTGACTATGTTTGACTCACTGAAAGCCGACAACTATCACACCACCAATTGCAGGTTTCTGAGTCCAACATTTAGAAGGGTCCCATGTCAGACTGCACCATATTTACTCAAACACAAGATGACTCACGACTCAAGCAGCCTTCTTGTGTTTTCATGAGGTATGTTTTTTAAAATACATATAAATCTTTTGGGGAAGACATCCTTGCATACCAAGAGCGTAGAAAGAGCACAGTAAAAAGCTATTGCACATCCAGTGCTTATCAGATCTGACACCTGCCCTACAGAAAAACGTAAGATAATTAAAGGCACCTTCCTTACTCTAAATAGGCAAATCTAAGATGACCCTTGGTCCCTAAGTTTCTAAAGGCTGCAAAAATAAGAGCTGGCTGGGATTCAAGTAAATGCAGTGTGAGCTTGAAGGGAGAGAGCAGCAGCAGGTACCTGGTAGATAGCTGACCCAAGGGCAGCAGGGTGCAGCGGACCGTGGGGAGAGGCAGGAGGCTTTTTCTCTCCACCTGGCAACACACGCAGGGATTTTTAAAAAACAGAGAGCAAACCAGGCTACACACATCTGATGTTTTTCCCAGTTTCTACAGTGACGTAGACATTAAAGCCAAGCATGGGAGTGCAGAGAGAGGCAGACGAGAGTGCAGCAAGAGGCATCTCACATCCCTCATGAGCCGAGCAGGATCCTCTTGAAGCAAAGCTGAGAAGCACCAGCTGCACCAGCCAGACAGCCCTTGAGTGTGGCAGAGAGTCGGGCTGGTAGCCCAGCCAATGTGGGCAGCATGCTGCTGGCCTGCCCTGCAAGCACGGACTGGGCAGCTGATGCCCAGAGACACTTCACTTCTCCCAGAAAAAGAGGTGAACAATGGCAGCGAGCAGGCCAGTTGGGAGGAAGGATAAGATGAAGTCCTTACTTTGCCTCAAGGAGGGGGAAGATGGCCTGAAAAGCACGAGGGACTCTCAGGACTCCAGGTTTCTGCCCCTTGCATTCCCATGCAACTGTGGGCATCTCCCCCGCCCTCTGCAAAATCGACATCACCAACTTCATCTGCTTCACAGGGGTATGGTTGGCTTTATGTTCATGGAAGCACCTAAATTACTGCTGCACATGTCCAGGTAACTCCAATGGCAAGGTGTCAGGCTGCAGAGGACTTACTTCATCTGTTATTGAAATGCAACAGTCAGGAGATTGTTCAGGCTATTAATTATTCACAGATGTTATCACTGCTCCAAGCAGAATGGAGCTAGTTTCCCCTTCGTAATTAAAAAGGAGTTAATCTGATCTGTGATATAGCTTAGTATCACAGCACCCAGAAACCCGAGACACCTGATCTCATCCCAGGGTGATGATAATGCATGCAAAAATTGTACTTGTGAAAAGTGCCTTGCTGCTGGTTTAGGCAGGTTGGACCTCCGAATTGCTTGGCTTTGCTCAAACCCTGTATCCAGCAAAGTTGGTGGTAAGATTCTCACTAACCTGTGGGAGCAGGGCCGCATTCAGCATGTAGATGCTTTAAAGCTCAATCCAAAGTCTAGTGATGCTAAAGGTGTCTGTTGACTGAATCAAAACTTGGCTCAAACCTATATCTATTAGATCTCTGAGCCAAAAAGTATTGCTTAACCCTTTTAAATATTAGCCTGCTCTAAAATGGATTTCCTAAGTAGGTAAGATTTCTGACTTCTGTGTTGCAAGGGCTGTGCACAAATCACCATGTCTCCTTCCCAAACATGTTTGTGTTGTATCTATTTTCCTTGGAAATTTCTCCCGTGGGATGAACATATACCTGCAACGTCAACACCCCCTCCTTCCCTTCTCCTGCTTCAGAGAACTTGGAGATGAACCCTCTCATTTTAGAAATTACTGTTGTGTAAAGTGATTATTTTAATCTCGAGGTCCGGGACCTTCTGTTTTCTGCAGTGGTTCAGTATCCCAGTGAATCGTGAAGGATCGAGGTCACAATCTAGAGTACCTGGTTCCTTATACAGTGTCCAGGCACACAAGGTCTTTGGACTGTGCCACCAGCCCCTTATGACCTTGTCATTCCTTTCACTGTTTTTCTTTTGTCTTCCTATGTCCCGTACCTAGGGCTGAGTGTTCCCTCACTGATCTCTCTTTCTCTCTCTCTCTCTTTCTTCTCCCCTCTCCCTCCTTACCTTGCTACCACTATTGGGATGTAGAGTAAAGATGCTGGTATCAGGACTTTGGTTATGTTGGATGAGCAAGGAGGTAAGTTCAGATTGCTTCAGTAAGGAAGTATAACCATTCTCAACGTACTGTACTAACTGTGTTCAATCCTGAAAATGAGGGCCATAAAATATGTGTGGTTGTGCATGAGAACCCCAAAACCTCTTTGTCTTTAGCTTCATTGTCTGACAGAGGAATGTACAATAACTGCATAAGTCTGTGCTTCTTCTGATCTATTTCCCATTAATGTCAAAGCGAGCTTCAGGCTGAACGCATCCAAATTACCATTTTTTTCAGCAAGCTTTGGGTCGAGATCCAGCTACATGATGAGAAGATTTGCCTCCTTAAGTGTAAAATCCAACATTATTTATGCAGGTGCTATGTAATTTTCTCACTTCTTTTAGCCACAAGTGAAAGGCATGCAATAAATGCATCTCAAGGGAAGGTAAACCGGGTCTTGTTTGTGTAAAATTCAGTTGCTTTTTGTATGGAAATGTCAGTGAGGATAACAGGAATTTAACATTAGAAGCTATGACACGATCAGCTCATTACAATTGACCATATAGGAGCTTTCAAGCTTAGACAAGTCCCTGTCTGTAGGTGACAGTGACAAAGACAGAGCTAGATATATTCAATACATTCCAGGAAATCACATTTTTTCCCTTCGTAATACTACAAAGAAGTAGGCAGCTCCCCCCTTCTCCCCCCCCAAACTAATAAATCTTCATTTGCTGCAGACGCACAGCACCAGCAAAATGGCATCTCCAAACAGAAGTTAAATCACCAAAGTATAAATTTCTGCTACTCTACATCAAGCCAGCCCCCCAAAAGCCCTTGTCATTATTTACTATGTGGCGTGATACAAAACCGTATAATGTTTTCTACAGAGGTAATGCTGTGTTGCTCATCAAGCCCAGACAATGACTATAAGCAATGGTATGGCATTGTGGGGAAAAGGACTGCAGAACCTGACAGGCCCTTTTCATCCGTAATGTCCCTGCCTCTCTGGCACTAAAATGAATAAAAAGTAATAACAGGACCTAAGCAGAAAGTATTTTCTCCTATTTGCTTTTTGATGTATGTCTCATTGCTTCCCCCCCCACACACACCCCCTCCTCCCCCTTTAGGGAAAAGAATTTAACCTAACCACATTTTGTTGTATCAATGTCTCTTGAGAAGAAAAATATTACAGAGAATATTTTGTTGTCTTCAAAAATTTTTTTCTGAATAGCAGCAGTAAAAGAACTATCACTGAATACAGAAAACCAGAAATTACTTCTATTGAAGCAGATATGGCACCTGTCTAAATAATGTGGTTTGTTTCAGAAGTGAATTATACAGTTAAAATAAATCACAAATATTGTCAGAGGAAGTCCATAAATACCTAGGTGTGTCTTGCAATGTAATTCACAGGCAGATCAGCAGAAACTTTAGTGGTTCCTGTAACTTCCCTTGTGTTTAGTCTTGGGAAAGTATGTTTCTGTTCTTTAATTGTTATTTTTCTACAGATTGCTAGGTGGCTTTATTTTGGTTTTAACCCTGAATTTTGTTTTTTTACTTTGGAGTTCTACTATTGCTAAACCCCTGTATGCAAAAGTTGTTCGGCCAACTCTCTAGTCTTGCTAGGAAGAATGGTCTGTGTGAGCCAAGGGACTGAGGCTGGACCTGAGACCTCTTTGGAGTCCAGGGAACTCAGTATTAAACTCTTATTGACAGTGAAACCTGAAATGTATATTGTATGGCCAGAGATGCAGTTAGTCGATACTTACAGGAAAGAATTAGGTAATTTAAAAGCCTCTTTAAACTGGTTATGTTCATGCCTTAAGTGGTGCAGTAAATTTAGCCTGTTACTACAGCAGGGGGTTCTCAAGGAAAATGGTGTAACAGTACTACAAACCCTGGGAATATTGTAACCGCTGTACTATGCTAAATGTTTAATTACGTTTCGTCCATTTTAGCCATATGTAGGGGTAATTATTCCTGATTTTTCATTTTTTTCATTTTAGTGATAAAAGACGTTATATTATTGGGCAAAATACAATAATGATGACTTTGAACCCTCTATAATTAGTTCAATATGTACAACTCATGGATGTCTCAGCAGATTATCAGATTCAGGAAATAATTTGCTAACACTGCCATGTGATCTCCTTTCAGCTGACTGCACAAGTCACTTAAGATTATTAGGTGTTAAATATACAAAAAACATGACATCGATTTTTCCAGTGGGCGGCAAGCAGAATATCTAATCTCTGCAGTTGCTTGAAGCTCTATTTCTAGGTTTCCTTACAAAATTGCTTGCTTTGAAGTTAAAGAGACCTTACAAGGAAAACTTCTTTGAGCTGATCTCAATCTAAATAACGCAAAGCAGAACTCATTTTGTGATATCAATAAGCAGAAGTCCTTGGGATCATAAAAGGAAACAAGTCAACGTCATTTTACAATACTAGGTATTTATACAATAAAGCCAGTCTGGCTAGCTCCTGTTGCCTAAACGTTTAGCACAGCTGGCCGCGCAGCGGAGCACAGAGTCTGTTAGGACCCTACAGAGATGTGGAGCTTCACGAGAGCTTTCATTACTCCTGTTTCACAGAGAATGGGGCTGCCATAAAAACCAGAGACCTGCTCCAGTGCCCTTTGAAGTCACTGGGAATCTGAGGGGGCTTTTGGAGTAGTCCCTTTGCAATAACAAGAGCTATTATTTTTTGAGACTGGTATCATCACCCAAACCAGTCCAACACAGTTCTTCCCCTGGGGAGGAAGGAGCTAGGAGGTTAGATTCTCCTTGTTGAGATTCTTTTCCATCAGTGAGAAGGTCTTTCCCAGACCCTATGTGCATCCATAATATTTGCATTTTTTTTTTAAACCTGGCCTTGAGTCAAGCTCCCTTAAATGAATTATTTAAATATAAATATGTACATAACACTCTAAACTAAAATATTTCCACTTTAAACTAAAAATGTCATGCTGCAAAGGATTATTGAGCTGTGGCAATTGGTCTGCCTCACTAAATATGTCTTTGAAACATGCTAACTTAGAAAAACGTTAATATTTGGATGCATGTTGGTTCAAAGCAGATCATAGAAATGAAGCTAATAGTACAAAGTGGGGATATGAAGATAAACCTAAAATTGCTGACACAGGAAGGGTCCCAGAGTGGTAGCTCTCTTCATCCAAAGTAAACTCTCATCACCTGGGAGTATCAGCAGAGAGAGAGACTTGGACCTTCAAGGACATCTTTGTATGATGATGTCCTCATGCAGTTTATTACAAAAGAATTTTGTTCTTGTATTCAAAATGTGATGCAAGGGAGAAACTCTTCCAATAACAACAGTAGCAGCACAGCCATTTTTCATCCAAGATAAGATAAAGGAATAGCCACAACTATGATAAGCCACAAAGAAAATGTCAATGCAATTGACATTTTCTCCCTGCACCACAGCAACAACAAATGCACAACCAGCAATGCCAGTGAACACGGTCAGCAGCTTATTCTACCCAGCAGATCTGTACTCCAGATCAAACTGGAGTTTGGAGATACAACCTTGGAATAACTGGACGACCCCTCAAGCAAAAGTGTTGGCACCCTGTGATGGTATCTGTGCTAGCTGACCTCTACTGTTTTTGCAGGAGCTGTGAGTTTTAGTTTTGTATGAGTTATGGCTGACCTGTTTCTACGGCACTGGAGAAACAACTGCAGTAAATACAAAGATAATTACTATTCCTTTCCAGAGAGCAAAATTACGGCCCCTTGCGCAGGCACCTTCCCCACCTTATCTCATCTTTAGCAGCTACCACAAAACTTGATAGGCAGTGAGATGCCAAAACCAGAGTTGCTAGAGGTGCTCCAACAGCACCTATGAGCTGAGCTGATCAGTCAGAAAGGGTTTGCTAATTAGCGAAAAAAAAAAACGGTAACTATCAACTATTCCAGATTTTACAGGGAAAATGGTATTAATTATGTTGAAAGTGTAGTGCAGAACAGAAGACAAATGAACTCCCCACAAAAGCAGGTTGTGCCTTGTCTACTGCTATTTTTAGCCCAGCTACACGTGGGCTCACGAGCACTCCCCGCCACTTTCTTCATTCGTGCTCAGCAATGCCTTTCGGAGCAGAGCTAGGTCAAGACTTTGGATTTCTGAAAAGGCTGTCCTAGAAACGTACCGTGCCCAGACATGATTCTCCTTTATGGAAAATGGGATCACTGAATATCATTGGAAATAGTTAATCTGCTGACTCTCTTTCAAATTCAGCCTTGTTGTATGCAATTATGATTACAATGTGTTCTTAGATGTCTTTTTTGTCTTTTTTTTTTTTTTTTTTTTTTTTCTCTCTAACTAAAATTGTCCCTTTTGGCTATTGCTTCATTGCACCATACTCCAGGCAAAGGAGCAAGTTCCCTTCTCCACAGGCATTTAATTGACATTCAAGCACAGGCCCCAGATCCTGGACACCAGTCAAGGAACTGTTGTCATAAATTAGAGGTGGGGATGCAAAGGTGGAGCAACCCCACATTTGCCCTGTCCTGGTCCGACATCCAACACCGTGTTGAGATGCTTTTGCAGCAGCGTTTGCTCAAGACACCCCAGGAGCAGCTGAGGGATGCCCTTGCTACAGCTTCCCTCTCCCAGCCACTTCCCCAGATCAGTCACAGAACAGGGATTTGCCTTATGGAAGATCCTGGCAAAGACCCAGCGGCAAAGGGCCACCACACTATGGTAAACAGGACTAACTTATGGTCCCTCAGTTGCCTATGGTTTTAATACAGAAGTAATTCATAAGTATAACAATGCAGGTAATAACGTATCCTTGTTTGTATCCTAAGATATGATATTAATTTGCTGTAATATCTGGAAGAAGATATACAGACACTATGTTTGAATCAAAGTGACTTTCTTGGACATAAGAGGGTATTGATATGCCAAAAGGGCTAATAATTAGTAGAGCTTCCCAGAAAAAAAAAAAAAAAAAAGAAGGAAATCTCAGTGAAACATACCTCTAATGTGTATTCTGCTTCCAGACAATGCCAGTTCTCTTATATACCATATATGATATACAAACCTATATATAGATGAAGTATATTCAAAGAATACTGCAGCAAACTATCAAAAGATGTTTAAACTCAGACCTTGAAATGCTTCTCTAAATGGTAAAGGACATGATCTTTTGTTGGTGTGAATTTTCATAGGTTCATGGCAGTATATGCCAGCAGACTCTCTTCCCTAAAACCTAGAATACAATACGCAAAGTTGGAATAGGGAAGAGCTATGAAAACAGTTATTAAATTAACCTTTTGATCACCATCTGATTTCTTACCGGCAGTGGTTCATCCTGGGCCAGATTTTAGTATCAGCTACACCAAAACAAATCCAGAGTGACCCCATTAAGTTAGTTCCTCTATAATATTTATGCCTTGGTAAATGTGGTTAGACTAACGAATCTATTTCCTTTCCTGTGGGATCAGACCTTTGACAGGTATAAATGGGTGTTGCTCCAGGAAGCCGGCATAACTACACTGATTTAAACCAGTCAACAATCCAGCCCATGACATTAACAACTAGCAAATGGTTTTAGGACCAGCAGCCAGCTGTCTAGACTTCTAGGCTACAAATATGGGCTTTTTACACTGATGAGGTTTCCTTTAATGGAAGACAAATTAGTTGTGGGTCCCTTTTCCATTCAGAAATAGCATAGGCATCACACTCAAATCCTGAAGCAGGATAAATTAAGTCAGGTTCCTGGAGAGCGCTATAATTTAAATGCAAGTCTTTGAGTCATGTCAAATATACTCTTCAATTAGCACTCATCGATTTAGGCAGAATAGGAAACAGAGAAAGAAGGCTCAGAAGGCCCTACTACATACCCAGCTTCAGAGCACATGCATCTGAGCAAGAAAACATGCTTAGTCGCAAAGTCACCCATGGTACCAGATCTAGGACTGATCCCTGCAGTCTACCTGGCATTTTCTACTGGTCAGCCAAGGTTAGAGAAATATAGGCAGCAAAATCAGTGGAAGAAAGGTCAGTACCTCTTCTCCCTCCCAGTGTCAAAATACACATGTGGGAATAGCCGTTGTTTAAGTGAGAGCCCTGAAAACTGGCCGGGCTTTGCAAACACAGCGCTTGCAAGTAGGAGGTGGGAATCTGTGACATAAATGTAGCAATTCCCATCCTGCTGCACCAACCAGCATAGAAACCAGCTCACGCTCCAGCAGCTGCTGCCCAGAGCGAGAGCAAATGTTGCCCCACCAGGCAGGGCTCTGCGATAGCGAGGAGCAGGAGCACTGAGAGGAGCATCGCCTTCTACCGCATACTCACATTTCTGATGAGACTGGCAATCAGTGGCTACAACTGTGAACCAAGGCTCCTGCTAAAGCCTCCCAGCCAAAACGTAAAGTTACAATATGCATTAGAACAATTCAACCTTGTAATTCTGGCTCTTGGCTCAGCAGTTTATCTGGCAGAACTTGTGCGGTGTCTCTCAGGTTTCCTTATTAGTTTCTCGATCCTTTGCTCACTTTATATGTGCCCCTTTTAGAGGACAGTGCCAGGGAACTCTGATCCTCTAAATGTATCCTTGGATTTGGGATCAGTAACTCCCACGGTATCAAGAGACAGGCACGTCCAGCTGAGGATAATGAAAACTGATAGCTGAAAAGCAGATGCAGCTCACAAGACTGACATGGCACCTCTTTTCTCAAAGCCCAGCCTCATGCAAGAATTAAACAAAGAGCACAAGTTCAATATTCCAATTATTTCAGTTTGAATAATTTAGGCCAGGATTTTCAAGGCCCTCTAGGGGTGAGATGCCCATTTCCCATTAAAATTAATTTTATTTAATTAATTTTAATGGGAATTGGGTATCCAAATCCCCTAGAAAGCTTTGAAAATCTAAACCTCAAACATTATTAGAAACCCAAGTAATAAATTAGGCCTATTCATGTTCCCAAAGAAGTCAAGAGGAGTTCTTTACTGACGTCAATATTCACATGATTTTTCGTCTAAAATACCTTCTTTTTTATTGTTTTTTTTTTTTTTTTTTTCTTCCTTCTGGATTGGACTCCGTTAACATCAGGGATGACATTAAACTCCTGCTATAACCAGTGCTCTCTTAGTTCCTTTCCTCTCAGGTCTAATTCTGTGTTTATATTTTTTTTGTATTCAATATGGGGAATAGGGATGCATCTATGTTTTACTCTGATTGCTTTACTTTACCTCTTTAGGTAAAGTTACAATTTTTAATGGATTGAAATACCACTCCAAGTAACTTTCTCATCCCGTGTAATACTTATTTGGGTATATCCTTCATGAAACAAATGGTGAGGCTTATAAAACACTGTTGCTACCACAGACTCCAGGTAAGACCCCTGATCCCACTGGATCCATACCTGTTTACATCAGCAGAGGATTCATTCCTTCAGTTTTACATTGTGACATTCTGTTCCTCGAGGCCATTTTTCCCAGCTTCAGTAGTGAAGGAATTAACACATTAAATTATTCTGAGCTACCAAGTCACTAAGAAAACCCTACATCCTCATCAGACTTAGGTGAAAATAAGCCAAATGCTGTTTGATGCCGGCAGAGAGACAGTGCCTATACGTGGCTAGTTACTGGGCTTGGTGCTTCCTAACGTGCCCTGGAGCAAAGCAGAAGTGAGCCCACTGAAAACGTGAGTCTTCACCCAATGCTTGTTTTCATAAGATCCCTTGGGGACAGAAGGCAAGGGATGTCACAGCCAGTGGTCCTCTTTCAGTGAGCATCAGGCTCCTGGAGTGGTTGTAATTGCTCTGTTTTTACTGGGGTTACTCCTGATTTGCAGCATCCATACCAGAAAGAAAACCAGCCCTGAGGCCATACTCCAATTAGAGATTAATATCCAATGCAAATCAAAGTGGCGGGTCTCAGTTTCCTCAGCCTCTGGAAAAAGGAGTACTTGGACATGGCTCTTAACAGCTCGCTCCATCTCTGGTACCGTAACCACCAGCTCTCTCGCTCACTAATCAAAGCAATTATGCTGCACCAAATCACTTAATGCCAAGACATTTGTAAGCGTAAGTAACTGAAGTGTTTTCCGTGGAAGGACAACTTTTCTCTTGTATTAATGTACATAAATGCAAAATAATAACACTATCTTTCTTTCTCTTGGATGTCATTGGTGTCTTAGTAAGTGGATGTATTGTATTATGTTTCCGGATCTTGAACTTTATAACCCTTCCTTTCTACATCATTACATCTTGTTTAAATTAATATATTTCAAACATCCTCCTCCTTTGTTTTACTCTTCCCATATTAGTGACAATCATCTTCGGCATCCAGTGCGGCATACATCCTTTCCACAATGCATCAGCTCAGATTAATGCATTGTAATGTCATTATTAATTCAGTTCTACATGGTCATTTTTCATGTTCTGTTGAAGACAAAAGCAAACAAACAAAAAAACAATTCATTCCACACTGTCATCCCTTTGTCCTGACCAGAACAACTCGATCGTGTTGAAGAAGGCATGAACCATATCAACCAAGACATGAAGGAGGCCGAGAAAAATTTAAAAGATTTAGGGAAATGCTGTGGCCTTTTCATATGTCCTTGTAACAAGTAGGTACTGGGTACCGGCTCTGCTATGTGGTGTCCAGTTTTTTGTCACAGTGAATGTCTGAAGTTTTTGTCTTTTTTTTCTTTGTCCTTTTCCATCTGCTTCATTCTGTGGGGATAAAATACTTGTGTTTAATCAGAACAACTGGAACGCATCGAAGAGGGAATGGACCAAATCAATAAGGACATGAAAGAAGCAGAAAAGAATTTGACGGACCTAGGAAAATTCTGTGGTCTTTGTGTCTGTCCATGTAACAAGTAGGTGCTGCCTGCCTCATCTCTTTGAGCACTTAAGGCTGATCCCAAAGGCCTTGTGAAGCTCATCCTTGCTAGGCACATGGACAGGATGAGCATGTGGCATGCAGAAAGAACGATTCTGGTTCAAATGCATTCATCTCATAGCATAGACAACTGACTGGGAATTACTGTAGATGCATTAAAATCAGGCATACTGCAGTGAAAGCTTCACTGTTGACACCTTCTAATGGTAAAAGTTTCAACATTTTACACAAAGTGTACTGAGCGGTTCCATTTTCCAGCGAACAAAAACACTGGGGCTACCTTATTCCTGAAGACCCTAAATTTTGAAATATATTTTCACAAACAAGCTTAATGAACAAAACAAAACAGCTGAAAAAATGCAGACGGGGTCATAATAAACAGTACTCAAAATTCTGGATGAAAATCACACCCTTTTTCATTGTTCAACAGAAATAGTCCTCGATGAGATCTTGAAACAGACATGACATTTCACAATTGGAACCCAACTTGGAATGGTTTTCATCCTGCCATAGGCAACAAATTTGAGAAAACCTGAACACACCAAATTTCTCTCGTTTGGGTAGCATGTACACTAAGCAGAAATGTTGAAATGCATTGGATTTGCTTGCATGCCATCACACTTGAACGAAACCGTCCTCAAAGTAATGCAAAGCTTGTTTTAAATGCCAAATGAAAATGTGATGTGCGGTTATGCGGGTGTAGGAAATTGGGGACAAAGTGGACCAACCAGAAGTCCTTGAGGAATGGCAAATCCATCAGGCAGTGACTAGGCATGCAACCGGGTTACAGTGAAAATAATCAGAAATGGTTGGCCAGAAATTGTGCAGGAAACAAAGCAGAGTGCAGTGGTTCTGCAGTATTAGAATATAATCCTGGCTTTCTGTGTGGCACAGGTACTTTGCACACAGCCAGGGCCTGATCCTACCATGAGTATCAAGCCTAAAGGAAAGAGAGCTGTCATGGAGTTCAGTGGGTATTTTGCCCGAAATCGGACTGGTAGGACTGGGTTTCTGCCTCATCAGTCACCGTTTAGTATGAAGTTAATTCCCTTGGGACACAATGCAGATACTGCCTCAGCTTTAAAAAAATCCATTTTGCTCCTGTGCAACAAGCCACAAATACTTTGCTGGAGTAAACATTTTGCCCCGAATCTGTGTAGTATTGCTTTGGTGTGCACAGGAATTTGCAGGAATCGTCATTTTTTAGAGCAGCTTTAATATTCTGTACTGTAGGAAAAGCTGCTCAGAACTGACAGCCAGACCTGTGGCATAGACGGGTTTAGCACCTGACACATGGCCTTAAAACGTTCACTATGATTGCGGTGTCATGAAATCAATAGATGCGAGAACAGAAAGACACTGCATGCATTCAAGGTGGGGGATGGCCATTTTTAAAGGTGCCTTTCCTGCCTTAAGGCAGCATTCTGACCTTCCCAGTCTGCAGCCAGATTTCATAAACTAGCATTGCTGATCAGTCAGTGTGTTCAGAAACAGGGTATGGATGAATAATGCTTTTAGAGACTGTTCCTTGAATCATTACGCCAGGACTCAACTGCTACGCTTAAGATAATATTCCGAGAAGTGGAGTGTAGGAGGGAGAGAAATCCATACAGTTCTGGGCATCAGTATCACCATGATCCCCTAAATGCTCTTCTGACTGGTGGTAGATTAATGGCATATATTTTAAAAAGATTAACCATTTCACACATAACTATATGTTGATATAAAGGGTAAACACAACAAGGCTTGATGCTACATTCTTAGGAGACCCAAAATGCCCACGGTATGAAACTTTGACCAGACTGCATTCAGAAGAACAACTGCTATTGACCATGAGCAGACCCAGGCTTCACCTGATGACTTTAATGAGAAGTCCACAAGAAAAGAGAGTTCTGAGTGTATAAAATCATTCACCTCAAACACAGAGACTGTCTCACTCTGCACTCTGTTTAAAGAACAGGCAAAAACCTGTATGTGCAGCAGGAGCACTACTTTCACTCATTTCTAGAAATGCCAAAGCTGATGTATAGTTTCAGAGAACGGAGAGCCAACCATCATCTTTTTAAGTCTTCACAAACTTTAATGGGAAATAATCAACAAAACAGATGAGTAGGAAAGGTCCTTTTTTCATCTACATTTTAACTCTATATTGGAGCATGCAATACATCTGCAGGCTCAATAGAAGCTGAACTGCTTCATGGGGCATGGAGAGAACATAACATTAGGGATGGGTTTGTTGTGTCCTCTCCAAATCCTGCAGAAGCATGTTCAGTTTCTCCCCTAACATCCAAGCCACAGGGCTGTTTCTATGACTGATTGGAACTCGTGGAAGAACAGGGAAACCACAGAGATTTGCAGTTCCTGATAGCTTTGTTGGAAACTGCTCCATTTACAGAATAAAATCAAAAACTTATACCTACAGACCCCAAACACTCACATTCTCCTGTTGAAGTGCTCAATCTCATCTGATGACCCCAGTGACAGCAACCCTAAACACGCTGCACATGCTAATCTGCCACTAAAGGTATGCCTGGATTTTAATTTTCTATCCACGGCAGCTCAGTCAAAAATGGCTCTCTGAAAGCAAATGGAACTGTCATAAACATGAAATATAACAAGTTGCTAGGCTATTTTAAAGTCCTGTGGTTTAAACCTCCTGAAGGAAGTGATGATCCATTTTTGCCTGTGTCTTGCTTATTGTGAAGGCTGTTACTGCTGATGCATTAAGAGTATGATGAACTATTGGGGCAACTGTGCTTAGTGAGAATGCTTCACTTCTTATTCATGCCTGTAGCTGGTGCATGAAGAAAAATGTAGAAAAATTTCCCTTTCTGATGCTAGATTGCTCGTATCTTTTCTTTTCTCCTGCACTCATTTCACTTCTGCCTATTTTACTTTTTGTCTCTGTGGACAAAGGTTTGTACATCAACTGTCGATGTATGATTACTATTTTCAAGTACCGATATATTATTTGAAAAATCTAACGAACCCTATAAAGTTTATGATAAAATCATCCCCAAATCACCTTGGGAAGGGTTAGTGGCTTTAAATGCCTATTATGCCACATACATGTTAAAAAAATATCAACAGAAGCCCAATCTTCTGCATGGTAAAACATTAAAGTCTAGCCAAATCCGTCTTTCTCTAAGAGGGTGTGTTGCTGTGATGTGATGTACACACTATACTTGGCAGTTCTGTTTTTATGTCTGTCTGCCAGTACGTTCTCTGTGTTTGATGTCAAAACATATGTGTCACTGAAATGAAACAATGTTTTCTACTTATCTGTATTTCTTCTCTTCTTCTTTTTCCTTTTTCTTTTTTCCTTTTTTTTTTTTTTTTTTTTTTTTTTTGCCTTCTTTCTGGAAACTAAGTCAACATCCAAAAACCTGTGTGCAGTGTTGTAGACTTGACAATTGCAATCCACCCTATTGGAAACAAAACTTCTGACCATCACAGTTGTTGTGGCAGTAAAGTAAAAAACCCAAGCCCCTCCTTTTATTCAGGGTTATGATATATCGGTATACAATCAGTGACCCTCTATCTGAAAACTCATTTGCTTGATTCAGCTTCTAGCTTGGAGAAGTAAAGAGTTTTGCGTTTGTCCTTGTCCACTTGATGCTTTGTTACTCATCATCTTTTTTGCATAGGCTTAAATCAAGCGATGCTTACAAAAAAGCCTGGGGCAATAATCAGGATGGTGTTGTAGCCAGCCAGCCGGCACGTGTCGTAGATGAACGGGAGCAGATGGCCATCAGTGGTGGCTTTATCCGCAGGTGAGCCTTTTTATCCACTGTTTTCTCTCTATTCTCCTCATCACTGATATATTTAGATTTCTTCCATATGGTCATGAGTTCTGTGATGCTCATTAACTCCTTCAGTTGTGCTGGGTAATGCGATGGAGCCAGTATTTTCCACAGAATGGTGGGTGCTCAGATTTAGGTTGACAGCGATTAAGACAGGTACTAAAGGCTTTACTGTCTCCACTCACTTCCCCTGGCCCTGGGTGCGCTTGCCTGAGCTGGTGCAAAGGATGGTTACATTGCTGGCAATGCTAGAAATGAGGGGTCTTAGCCCTGAGAACCAGAAGATGCTTGAAAACGTGGCCCTAAACCTTCCTCCTTGAGACCGCCCGGATTTGGGCAATAATAAAATAGAAATAATATTTATTTATGTACTTCACAGCAGCAATGTGAGGTTGCAGACTGTAACAGCCAGTCAGCACTGTCCTCTGCACTCCAGCTCCCTGGCATGAACTATACACTTTTCCTGAGGGCCTTATTATGGGTCTCGTTAATGACAGTCGTCAAATGCCCCAGAAATGAAGCGTCCGATAAATACTAGTTTATTATTATTATGTCTCAAGATACATAGTGCTCATTATCCATCCTTGCCAGAAGATGTACCAAGGCATCCAGCAACCCTTCCTTTCTTTTCAAAAAGAAAAAAGCCTCAGGCTCCCTGCCAAAGCACCGAGCCAAGCGCAGAACTAGAAGCACACTTTTAACTCGAGGTACACCACTTCCCTGCTTGTGACTATCCAGAAAACCTCACCGAACAGGGAATGATGCCCCAGTCCTCAGCTGCTGCAGAGCCACAGCTGTGGAGAAACATTGATGCTTTAGTGACAACCCCTGTGCACTCAAATGAAAGCCAGTTTGAAAGACAGAGCTGTACTAACGGCAACCAAACTGCAAACTTTCAGCAATACATAGGGATCCAGCAATAAGCGCGTACTGATTACAGTGCTTCTAGAGCATGTATTTAGATGACAATGCTATCAGCTGAATGGATAAAGGCATACCAGTAGGCAAAGCTTTGATCTCTGAAGATTAAGGACACTGGATTAATAAGTAATTATCTTTCCAAAAACTATTATCCACTTACTTTTTTGGCTGCTGGGATAAAGGGAAATCAGTGTGAGAGAAACAATGCTGTCATGCAATCTGGAGCGTGGGATGGAGCTGCCATTTAAGTTTGCTGGGTCTGCCATTCACTTTTTTTTTCTTTTTTTTTTTTTTTTTTTAATTTCTGGATGGCAGCCCCACCAAAACGATGTCTGGGGCATGGTAACAGAATAGCAGCAAAGGAAGTTATGCTACACCATCACAATTCTGCAAATGGCCCGTAGCTCCCTTTTGGCACCTACATGAACACAAATTGCACACAAGGCTCAAAGTAGCGGTTTCCTGAGTGGGACCCACGGACCTTGCTCTTCCCAGTGTGAGTCGCCACATGCCCCTCCAGTCACTGGAGCATTGAACCGGGCCTTGGCTCAAGCACAAGCTATTTCTTCTGAAAACCAAACGACTGAAAAAGACGGTGCTAAGAATGAAAGACAAAGGATCTTTACGAAAGCCAGTAAATCTGAGAGAAGCTGCTTCTGTCATTTACCGGGAACATATTTTACTAAATAGGCTGTTAGGGCAGGATTTTCACAGCTGAAGCAGCTCTTCCCCTGTCCTTCACTGAGCCCCAATGGTATGAGGACTGGACAGTGTCCATTAGCTATGTGTAGTTCAAGGAGGGGAACGGGTATAGCTTCAATTCCACCTCCCTCCGGCATTTCCCAGGCACTCTAATGGCACATGGGTCCAAATGAAGCCCCCTTTCATTCTTCATTTGAGAAGGACCATCACTAGCAGAGAGATGCAGTGCGTGGTACAGACAAGCTCAGACAGCAACACTTCTAGGAGCAGCAGACACAAGCAGTATAAATGGAGCAGTGTTGAACCCAGGCAATTAATCCCAACAACCAAAACATAAGCATGCAAATTTTTTAAGGCTAGCTACTTATTCATCCCTTTTCTTCAAAGCTGAGCACAGCAGCACGCTCCTCATGTGACAAGTGAAGGAGGATGCAGGGGACATTTGGGGTGAATCAGAGTTTCAGAGGGAACCTCCTCTGCCTCTGCTTCAAAAAATTGTTTTTTTTTTTTTTTCTCCCAGGGTAACAAATGATGCCCGGGAAAATGAAATGGATGAGAACCTCGAGCAGGTCAGCGGCATCATTGGCAACTTACGTCACATGGCCCTGGACATGGGCAACGAGATCGACACACAGAATCGCCAGATTGACAGGATCATGGAGAAGGTAAGAGATGACATTTCTATGAGGACCCCAAAAGGGGCTGGGTTTCCCCATCTGCAAGCGGAGGCTGTGCACGCTGAAGTTTTTTTTCAGCTCAGAGGACAAGGGACAGAAATAGCTGCTAAAGCTCCTTGTTCTTCTCCTTCCAAACCACTGGGCCAAAGCAGAGCTTGCTGCTGTGGGTCTTCATAAACGTTTGATGCAGGTCGGGTGGAACCCACACTGTTGGGTTTGCAAGACAAAGGCTGGTGAGGTGACCCCTTAGCACAAATCAAGGCTCCCTCTGCAACCGCCTTGGGAAAGGAGAAACACCCTAAGCAGTGCAGAACTGCAGGGCTTGGGTCTGAATGTCCTGGCACTTCCTGGCAAGTTTTAAGCTTTCCTGGACTTTCCTTCTCTTGGAAGTTCCATGAACAATTGGGAATTGGATCGCATGTTTGGAGGACCAGTCCAAAAAAGAGGATAGAGATTTGTTAAGCAAGGATTTGCTAAATGGTAACAGTGCAGACAGTCTTGTCATGCTGCCTGTTTATAACCACATTAGGACAGAGATCTACCAGCTCTCTCGGTGTGTGTGTGTGCATGTGTGTGTGTATATATATATATATATATATATATATATATATATATATATATATATAACAGGCTTAGCGTTACTCTTGCGAAATCACCATCTAAAAAGGCAGAGAGCACCGTCCCAGTGCCAGACCTGCATTGCAGATTTCTGAATCAGATAGCAGCACCCTCCAAACCTGGCTGGGAACTCACTGCCATCCTCAGATCCCAAGATCTGCAAGCCATCTGCATTCGCGCTGGCAGAGCTCCAGGCACAGGCCCAGGCAGGCTGAAGTGACATCAGAGGCTAGATCTTCATCTGGTGTAAAATCAATACAACATTCAACTTCAGCTGAGATTTACACAACCTGAGGATCTAACCCAAGGACTTATGTGTGCTGCTTAGAGTTAATGCTGACCTTAAGTGGTAGAGCTTATACCCTTGAGCTGTTTTAAATGTGCAAGCCTTCTCACATGAGCAGGATGCACATGCCTATTTTTTACGACAATTAACTACATCAGAACCTAGTGAAAAAATTAACAAAAATTCTGCACTGAGGGACTCTCAGATAGATTTCCTTATTGGAGCTTGATTCCACAGAGAACTGGGTGCAGTATACATTGTCTTAAGGGTGAGAAGTTTGTCTCCAACAGAGAGACAGTCACATAACACAATAGAGCACATGGCTTTCCATCAGTCAATAGTTTTGGTTTATAAAGCAGCATCTGCTAGTCTGACTGTATTGGAAAATGCACGGTATTTCTTGTGATGCCACTGCGCAGCATTTTGTTTTTTTGGGGAATATTAGGAGCATGGGGTGGAAGGATCTAATACTGTTATTCATATGAAAAGCACTAGAAAGCAGCACATCTATCTACATTGCGAGAAGGGACTAGAAGATTATAGAGCCTACATCATAACTACCTTTAAATAAGAAGTCTAGGACATAGGTCATTTTCTCAGAGCAAGTATGAAGACATGCACTATTACATATTACCAGCTGCCCTACTCATGACATAACGTAGTGGCAGGAAACATGCTCTGTGGATGGAATTCAGCTGCATCCTATCCATGCCTGCAGGATACTATCGCAAACTACAGCAAGCCTCACAAGACACTGTTCTCCTAATCAGTTCAGGCTTGCAAACATCTGGATTTTGAAAACATTGACGAGGCCCTTTGTGCACATGAAGCACGTGGGTCAAATCTCTAGGCAGTGCGCGCTGATTGCAGCTGGCTAACCGAGGGACTGGCCCTCCACATCTATGCAGTCTTCTTATGGAGTTAGGCATTTCATACAGCCGTAGAAAACCAACATTGCCTGCTAACGTGATTCATTAAATCCAGCCTCACAGGCATGCCTCGTCAGGCAGAGCCCTTGGCTAAAGAACAGTGACACGTTTCTGAAAGATGGACTTGCAGTGTACACAGAGGAGTCGTCATAAAAGCAGCACAAAAACAAGACAGTCTTCAGTCTTAGTCAAAATCTGCCAAATTTCTCAAGAGTAAGGACATGCAGTAATGAGATACTAGAAAAAGAAACACAACATATTAGGAAAACCCTCTACAAAAGACAGAAATGACGGTTAGCTGGATAATACTGAAACCACAAATGCATACATATCCATTTTGCAATAAAATATGTCAAGAGACCATAGTCCCTAGCTAGCGGTGGGCGTATAGCATTGCTGGAGTTGTTTTCTTTTCCTGACCAGCTGGAGCACTGTGCTTTTGATCAATTATGATAATTAGAAAGACTCTTGGCTGGCACACATTGCAAAAGCTGAGGTGCATCACCAAGCTAACCCAAATGCTCCTAAAGCATTTATGTTAAACTGGATGCATGCATCCAAACCAGAGAATCTCATAATTCAGTGATATAATCTGATCTATCCACGGTAATCAGGATAGCAATGAATAAAACGCTTTATCCTTCCCACAGATCTAAGAGAAAGGGACAGCAATTGAAATGATAATGTGATGAGTAGGTCAAGTGGCCCAGACATCATAACCAGAAGACCCTGGCCCTAAAATGAACCATAAATAGGATGCTGGGAGGAAAGTAGGAAGGGCTCAAAGCATTCTGTCTTGACCTAGGTGGGAACGTCTGTACAAAGATTCCCACTGACTTCGATGCAAATTCATCCACCAGATTTAGACCTTAGCATTCCTATTTAGGAACATTATGCTTCATCAATATTCGATCAATACTCATGTGTTTCGTGACAAAACTAACTGCTTCCAAAATCATTAACTCTCTTTTTAGGTAGCCTTTTGGCAAAAGCACACAAAACTGTACTGTGGTAGACAAGGTCAAGCTCATGGCTAAAATAAAGGAGTGTGGTTTATAACGAGTAGTTATACTGTTTTATGCTTGTTGAGGATCTGGCACATGCTACTGTACTAAAAATACACATCTACATAGCATTTGCCAAACAATTCTGGAGAAAAGCCCAAGATATTTAAGAATGATTTATTGCATATCAGTATAACCATTTTTAAAAGATTTTTAAATGTATGTGGGAAAGTTGCTTCACCATTCCATCTTTGCAAATTGAAGATTTAAAATAAAGCTGTACAATTTGGATACACCTCAGAGATGTGGGAACAATCACCAAAGCTAACAAAACGCAGCTGTCAAACCACAGAAAAGAGTTTGCTATTTGAGTTCATGCTTTTAAAGCAGTAACGCAATTCTCACCTTTCCCACAGGTCTGTTTTAAAAAATTGAAAACATTTTCTATTTAGTCCCTCTGCTAGCATAAGTCGGCATAGCAACATGGGCTTGAATGGAGCTTTGCCAATTTTTGTCAGCTAAAACAATGTCTTTGGTCTCCAAAACTAACTTCTGCAGAGCTACAGAAAGCCGTGATCAAAGGGTCTTGCCACTCAAAGAGAACTCCTCAACCTCCCAAGTGGTGTCATTTTATAATCATGGCAAGTGTTACTCCGTGGAAGACAGTGAAGTTAACAGTTCAGCCTATGCTGGACTAAAGTCCAGTTTGATTGCTTTGAACAACAGTAGAATCGCCGCCTTTTCATAATTCCTGTTCATGCTGCTGCCCAATGCGAGAGGTTACTCTCTCTTGCAACTACACTGGTGAACTTTGTTGAGAGAAAGGAATAATGGCATCACTCCTATCTATTCCCTTCCTTTCACATGTAGAGCAAAGAGATCCAGACTGATGTATTTTCAAATAAATTTATCTTTGCCAGCATCCCCCACATCAGATGAGCTAGCTTCCCTGCTCCAGTGATTCTCTACACTGACCACAACTTTAGTTTTGCCTGCATGCCTGGTGATCTAAATTAGAACAGAGCCCAGGTCCACTGAATTTCAGAGGGCACTGAAGCTTTTCCCCAGTGAAATCCATGTGCACGCCATCAGTTCTCATCCTGTCATCCATTACCACCAATACCACTAGCACTACCGATAGCACCAGCTACAGATCTGGCACATGAGTTCAGTGAAGCTGAACACAAACATAAAAGCTCTACTCAAAGGCTACCCGAAGTGTCACAAAACCAGCAAATTTGTAATTTCCTTGTGGGTCCCTAATACCACTATAAAAAACAGCTCTCCGGTATTTTCAAGCTGAATTTTTTTTTTTTTTTTTTTTCCCTGACCTAACTGAAACTAGAGAAGTGTCCACAACACATTGTGGATGTTCTCTTTCTGCCCCGCATTAATCTTTTTCTTTCCTTTGTGTTTCCCTAGGCTGATTCCAACAAAACCAGGATTGATGAAGCCAACCAGCGTGCAACAAAGATGCTGGGCAGTGGTTAAATGCAGTGAAGTGCATTTCCTTTTAATGCTGTCCAACAAGACAGTACCTTCATGCTTTTATCATGGTATTTACCTACTAGGTTTGCACACATGCACATATCAGCCCCATTGTAAATGTTGTCCTGTGTAGTTTGTCAGCTTTCCAAAAATGATACTTGTAATTATTTTTTTCTAGATATCTTTCTTTCCAAAGGTTGTACATAGTGCTGATTTGATGGCTATAGCTCACTATGATGTTTTTTTGGGATTTTTCCTTTCCTTGTTTCTGTTTTGGATTCCTTTCCTTTTTTCCCCTCTCCTCATTTTTTTTTTTTTTTTAATGATGTTTGCTGAATGACAACACTGTTGGAATGCTAAACGTGCTGTTAACCTTTAAATATACAGTATTGTTCTTGTAAAACTGTGACATTCCACAGAGCTACTGCCATGCTCCTGTCTTTGGGTATCATGATGTTTAAGCACTTAAACCTGCTGTCTTCAGTTCTTCATTGCCATTATCTGTTGTTATGATTTCATGATTAGACAATGTGAAATTATATTACTATAACAAGCATTGCACTAAAAAGTGATGTGATTTATGCATTTATGCATGAGGAATAAATAGACTTTTAGACTCCTACTTAAACAAGAACTTTCCCATGGCAGTAGCACACCAACAATGACAACAAAAGCATGCTCAGTATTCGGACTCTTTTGGGACTATGTTATACCAGCAAGTTTGCAGTTGTGCCACTTTTTTCTTGTTGATATATATATAGTTATTAATCATGATCATTTTTTTTTTAATTATGAAAAAAGAGGGTTTTGGCACTCACCATTTAGCCATTGCCAGCAAAATAAAAGCTTGGCTGAAACTATGTCAAAGACAAAATGAAATAAGTGTAATATATTGGGTTTGTCTGCTGCTTTTGAAGACTATCTTTTGGAGGAAACGACTACCATATGAAATGGTGCAAAGAAATTTAATTTTTATAAGGCTCTCTCTTACTAGTCGCTATCCCCATGTGGTTTGTTATCGGTACAGTTCTCTGTTGCTTACCTAGAGCTATGCACACCAAATCGCTGAGATGTTTAGTAGCTGACTTAATTAAAAAATAATAAAAAAACCTAAATGAATGAACTCTAGATAAACTGTGAGATAAATATAATTTACAGCATGTAATATGAAATTCCTTATGTCTCCTGTCAGTTTGTGAAGTGATTGACATTTTGTAGCTAGTTTAAAAATTATTAAAAATTATAGATCTCAGAATCCATGCTTGTTTTATCCATTTGTTGCCCTATGTGTCAGTGACAACTAGTTATTTGCCGCTTACCTGGGAGAAGAAGAAGTCTAAAGACTCTTTACAAACTAGTTCTGTACTACACGTGGGAAACTAAAGATGTCTGTTTGCAATACTGTATAAAAGTAACTACTCTAAAAATATCATTTTACACTCAGCACATTCCAAGTGAATATTATTTTCAATAACCCAGCGTGGATTGCCAAGCACTGAATCAAAATATATTCTCTTCTTCAATGGAAAGAAAAAACTGAAAGAGAGGTTATGGTACAGAAGGATACAGTTCCTTAGTCAATAAAATCTATTCCTGCAGTGGATCTAGCCACGTGCTAATACACCCCTTTTCAGGCAACACTTCTAACTATAGAGTTTGCATAGTCTGTTAAGAATAATTTTCTCAAATGACTAACACCTACTAGTGTTTACTGCCCATGAAAAGTGTTATCGAATTTTCCCAGGGGTTTTTTCCCTATATGGACAAATTCTAATTAACTCTGCATGAGTGACAGTTCACTCATGTGTCTCACATGGCCCTAAGTCAAAATACACAAAGAACATAAATGCCTGTACAATTAAAATCAGATGATAATGTAGACAAGCTACATTTTCTTTAGCAGCTTTGTATTTTTAGTATCTATTAAAAATTCATTTATGCAAATTTTTTTCCCCCCACTACTTCAAACCAAAGAGTAAACTTCAAGCAAACATTTTTAATCTGCTGACCATTTCCAATCCTGTTCATTTAGGGATTCTAGTATTTGTGACAGCACTATCATTCTGCAATGTCAAAGACTACTGATGGAGGGCAATAATCATACTGGAAAATGTGTCAGTATGGGAAAATACAAATACATGGATATTTGAGAAGGGCAAGAAATATGTCAGAAAATAATGAAGATATTCATGGAGGTATTATTCTCATCTGTTTGACAAGAATGCACCCTTTCTGAAGAACAACATACTTCCAAAAGTCATTATAGCTCATCAAAAATGTAAGCCGTGGCTGAGAAGGAAATCACTATGTTTTGACATCTGTTTTTGTCTTGCACAAAGATCAAAAACCAAACTGCTGGAACTTTTTGCCAAATGGAAAATTTAAAGGAAAGAAATGTTGAAATGTTTCATTGCATTTGTCTTTGTATCCTCCTCTACTGTATGCAGGGTCTCTCAGGAGCTGGCTGAAAATGAATTAAGTAAATAAGTTTAATATATTGCATTTCTGTGATGGTTTTGAAAATTGACTTTTCTAGGATTAATTAATCCTGAAATAATTCAAAGAAAGGCCTGATCTCATGCAGTTTGTTATTAGAACAATCTGCTTCTGTTCATTAAGTTTTGAACACACCAAATCCCTGATACAGCAGTTGGCTTAATAGGAGAGAAAAAAAAAAAAAAAAAAAGTTTTAAACAGAACCTTGACTCAAAGATGGCATTCCCATTTTGTTCACCTTTCCCCCTCTGGCCATCCCCCATTTCCCATGGTAAGATGCAGGCTATCCCTGAGGCTGAACAAGCGCAGTGCACGGTTACCCACTTTTGGGGCAAGGCTCACTAGAAGGAAAGGGACACAGCAAGGTGCTGGGATGACAATTCCCATGAGATAAAATGGTCATATTGATTGGGGAAACAAAAACCACCCAGGTTTTTCTGAAGGCAAAGTCTTCTTTTCCTGGTAAGAAATTACCCTTTGAACATGTTGTATTTTCCCATCAGTAATTTCTTTTGTCTCTATAGCAGTACCATCTGGAAATCCAAGTTTGGGAGGAAAAAGAAAATGTCAGGGTGCTCAAGGACACAAAGATTCATGAAATATCACTTATTTCTAGACTTTCAATGCGATTTCACCAAGAGTTTGTAACATAGCAAGATGCTCACATTGCTGTTGGTTTAAGTTGGTCACAGGGAAAAGGGTTTTTTTATATTCTCAAGTGCCATAGCTGAATGAACTACCAAGCTGGATTACTTAAAATTTTGCTTAAAAACTGAAGTCGAACTAAACTTCTGTTGAGCTCTATGAATCCACAATTCATGACTTCTTCATATCATGTCTTTTCCTCTTTTCATAGTCTAGGCTGGAAATGGAAATATCAAATTAATCCCAAGGGAGGATATTTGAATGTTATTCCTCAACAGAATAAAACTCTTAAGTAGTGTAATATCTCATGCAAAAAAAACCAAAACAAACAAAAAAACCCCACCTTCATTAAATACCTGGTCTTATTTCAGAAGTGAGAAAATAAGAGAAAAAACTGGAAAATCTAAGTAAAAATCAAGGTGTCTTATCTCAAGGAAACCTTAAAACTTTTAGGATGTTAATGATTCCCAACCTTAGCATAAACACACAGCTTCTAAACTCAAGAGAGACTGTCACAGATTCCCAGATTGACACAAATGCAAGAAAAGATATTATGGATCATGCACAGCACCTTGTGGTTTGATAGAGCGCATCTTATGAAAAGCAGGTGGACTTGATGTAAAGGTACAGAGTGGAAAACATTGATTAATATTCCTCAAAGAGTTGGTGGTATTACTGTATATAACAGAAAAGAGTAACTCAAAAACAACAGAGTTGGTTTTTCTTTAAAGAAATATAAATTTCATTAGCTTGTATGGGTTAAAACCAATGCATCCTTCATTTCTGACAAAAACCTCAATTTCGAGAGATCATTCAAGACTTGTTTAAGGGATCTAGAGGCAGACAAATCAATTCTCACACTTTTTTTCCTCCTTCTTTCTTCTCCTGTGTGTACATATGCGCATATAAATCTTATTTTAAAGGCATTGAAAAGGGAAGAGACAAATACTTAGTAATAAGGAAAATTATGTGTGTTAGAGACAGCTTAAGTATATGCACTGCTGGTATGTGCGCCTGTGGGCGTAGGTGTGCAGGATGTGACTGCTGTCTTCTGAGCCATTTTGTTGCCTTTCTAGAGAGAGATGAGGACAGTTTGTTTGGAAGTTAGTAGAACATAGAGTATTTTTAAACCTGCAAATATCTTCAAGAAATGCAGACATGGGAGATAAACCCTGCTGAGAAGTTAGGGCGTTGGGCTGGCTCGATGGGGGTGAGGGGGGCAGGTTCTAGCTGATTTATTTTGAAAAGCACTTGCCAAAGTGTTGGATTCTCTCTGTAACAGCATTCGGAGAGATTATGTTTGTGTTGTACAATACCAAGCAGTTTTAATGAATTTAGTTTCAAATAGAATGTTTTTTGGTTTTTTTTTTTTTTTTTTAGTGCAAAAAACCCAAACACACACACCAAAAAACCCCTCCAAAACACAAAACCCCACACACAAGATGGCAGTGAAGGAAATCAGAATAAATCATTATGGGGGACCATGCTGATTCCCACACATGTGGGATCTGTTCTGAGAGCACTGCTGCCTGTAATGGGGTAAACAATTTGGTCAAGCAGTGGGTCACAGAGGGAGGGGATGCTCATTTGCCTGGGAGGCGTCACAGCTGCCTGCTGAAAGTGAAAAGTAGCAATGAGGGGATCAGGGCTCATTTATTGCCTTGCTAAAAAAAATGGTGCTGGGGGGGGTGTCTTTCCTGGAAGAGTCCCAGCCTTGAACCCCCTTTTCTCCCCGCGTAGCAGACCACAGGTCCCTCCACACTGCTCCTACTCCAGTGGAATCCGGACCTCTGTCCTCTTCTCCCCTGGCTTCTCCTCACCCCCCCCCCCCCTTGCATCCCCCATCAGCACCTACTCAATTCCTTCTTCCCTTTTCGTTTTCCTTTTTGCTTAACAAGCCTGCCTTCAGTCCTGTCCCGCATTTCACTTGCTTCACATCCCCTCCACCCGCATGTTTTCCACGCCTGGGCTTGCAGTCAGGCTCTCTCCTCCACAAAATCAGCAGGAGAAGCACCGAAGAAGCAAACAGCCTCCTGCTCCCCACTCCACAGCCAAGCACCTGCAAGAAGGGCTTGACAGCCCCAGAAGGGGAATTTTTTGGCTAGTCTATCCAAAAGGATCTAAAAAGTCTCTGTAGGTTGATGCAAACAAAGATGTTTGGACAGCTGAGGACAGACAGGCAAGCAGTGGGGAGGTATTTCATGGGAAGTCGGTAACTCAGAAGCCCTCCAAAATTCTATGTCTCTATTTTATGTCTTTGCTAATTTTTGTGTCTCTGGTAAACAGCTCTAGTGGATAGTAGTGCTTCTCCAGCTGGAGATTCTATTCTAGAACAGGAAAAACAATTCTCCTTCCCCTCTTCCCCAAATTTCATTCATTAGAGCTACGAAGTTTGGGGGTTTTTTTCCTGTTTGGGTTTTTTTGTTTGTTTGTTTGTTTGTTTTGTTTTATTTTGTTTTTTGTACTGAAGTTTTTAAAACCTGTGCTTTCAAAAAGCAGGTAGAGGAAGTAGATTTCCCTCACCCAACATAGGGTAACTATCCAGTGCTGGGTTATTTAACACAAAATCCAGAACAGCTCAAGTTAGCATAGGAAAGTTAAAATTAAATACTAGATCAGAAATGGTTTAGTAAACTTTGTTATAGGCAGTCCTAAGTTAATTTTCTAAGTGTTAACTTAAATACAGGCAGTGTAAGTTCCACTTAGAACACAGTAGGTTCTTCATCTAAATTCTGATCAAAATTTCACTGAAAGGAACAAAATAGTTCTTCTTCACATTCGTGGGGGGTTGATTAGAACCTCCAAAGCATGAATATGCATAAATCCCCCTGCACTAAAGGTATTCTTGGGTATCAAAACCAACAGTATGCAAATATGAGCAAAATATCTTCAAGAAACCTTACTTATTTTAACGTTATTATACAGTACTCCCAGACTTTACTGTATCAACAATAAATCCAGCTGGTGACAGTATATTATTAACTACTTTTGATGCTCTGCAGGACCCCTAAAAGCCTAGGTGGCTCCAGAGTCCGTTTATAAACTCCATGAACACACATGCTAAAAAGCTAATTTTGAAGAAACAGCAGCTGTAATTATGACATTCATCCTTAA